CATATAAGCTAGGTTCAATATTTCTCAATTCTTAATCATAATCTGCGATTCGCATTTTCGCTTGCTATTGGCTGCAATTCAGATTTAGCCGCAAGTTGTCTCCAAAGTAGAGATTGATTTCCGAAGATTCTGACTCCCAAGTGATAATTTGTCCTTGCATTATTTTTTATTCTACCGCTTTTCGTAGATTATTATTTCCTGTTATTAACATGTCAAGAATTAACATTTTATTTGGGTGGATTTTATAGGCAAATTTCTTCGGATAAACTATTTGGTTGTTGTGACCGTTTCAGGTGAATTCAGGAAGATGAGAAAAGCTCGCTAGACTAAATTTTCCATCTGATGCATGTTAGCTGTTTTCCACTGCTATTACCTTCCTTTGTTTTTTGTTTTTTAGCAGTTGCCATCACTTATATTTGAAAGCACCACTATTGCAACATCACATAATAATTATGATGCCAGTTTTTTTCCACTTATATAGTCTCTAGAATCAGGCGTTTCTCTAGACCTTCCCAGTCTTGTAAATGAGAAAATGATACTAACTGAAAAAGGCAAAACGAACATGGGGTTCAAAAATCACGCTTCAATGGAGTATTATTGTAACCCATGTAATGCGTCGAGTCTCTCGGCTAATGGCTTCCCAGGTAGCGCAACTAATGCTTGGCTATTGTCGCGCTTCTACGACATTCCTAGCATTGCGAATCTACTTCGTGACCAACTTTCTGCTAATCATCCAATGTCCTCTACTGATGAATCACACTTTGATCATATCCAATGCCATCACCACCAGGAGATTTCCCACACCACCTCTCCTTTCTTTGACTCGCATAACCACTTCAGTTGCCATTGGCACTCTACTTGCTCTTCTACACCGGGAGCACTAAGAAGGGACGAGCGATTGATGCATAATCATCAGGCTGGCTTGTCAAGTCCAAATCAATTGTGTCTTGGTCCGGTGCGTGTGAAACTTGTTTGCGGGGCTGATCTGCTTGAGTCATTTGCTACCCCAAATCTTTGGGCTGATGAAGATGTAAGTTACTTTATTTTGCTTCTGTCTTTTACTCTCTTTGCATCCAGTGCATAAACATTATATTTCAGACCTTTGGTTTATTAAAGTTATATTTAAACCTATATATTTTTTCGCTATGCTTCTATACTAGCTACATCACAACATTGATGTAACTAGTTCTTTACCTCGGGTTTAACTTCGTCCCCATCAGTTAGCAATGAACTTGGATAACTATGAAGCAAAACTGCATAGCTAGTTGCAGCAAACTTAAATCATTTGGATAGAAGTTGTTTGACCTTGTTTTCGCAACTTGCTCATATTGGTAGGAAGACTTAGAGTCCAATGTATGCATAATCATTTCTAAATTCGGACCGTAGATGTGCTACATTCCAAGAGGTTTCGCCGGCATCGTAGTCGGTATCGTGAGTGAGTTTAATTATTCGTAGCACAATATTACAACTCGTCAAAGAGACAAGTGAAGCCGAAACTTTGACCAAACGTGTGCTAAAAAGTTATGTTATCTTCCCTTTTGCACTGGCCTATTCACATTTCCTATATCCTCCAATCACGCCTTCACTGTCACAATATTTTACTTACTTAATTA